AAAACTATATTGCATACTTATTATAGGGCAGATTTCGTTCTAATAGCTAAGTAAACAAAAGAGAACAAAACAAGTAAACTGTTTTTCTGGTGCTCACAGTCCAAAAGAAAAAATAGGCAATAAGCAAAAAGGAAAAAAAGAGTGAATATAAAATATACCAGACAGTGATAAGTACCATGATGAAAAAGAATGTATCATAATAAAATATTACTTTCCTTTATTTATGAGAGACATAATTTTAGATCAGGTGATTTGGAAGAGGTCTAACAATTGAACAGTAATCAAAGAAAGATAAGTATATAAAAATAATTGTAAGGAGTGAGAGTGGTATGTGCAAAGGCCCTGTGGTAGTGGCATGGTCTGTCTGAGGAAGAATAGACCACTATGGCTCGATTAGTGAACATAGATCCTAGAGAGGTAGAATGTGGTTAGAAACATTGCCAAGGGCCAATCATGGAGGGCTGTATAGACATAGCAGTTCTGGATTTCTTTTTTTCAAATATTGGTCATAAGAATTTATTTTTGCTGAGTGGTTCACTTTATTTTAGAGAGGACTTTGTATTTGAAGAAAGAGCCCACTGGAAAAGTTCTTCTTACCACGGGGTCCAATTTATCTGATCCTACATGAGTGCTTCACCTATTCCCACTAAAATGAAAAGTTGGGAATAAAAAGGATTGTAATTTATTTGCAATGCCAGGCTTTTGCATGCATAAAGGTTTATTTAGATTTTTACAGAGGTGAAAATACCACATAAACTTTAGCTATGACACATGGAGTTAGCACTTTTTATCCTTTAGTCCACTTTGTAACATGGGCAGGAAGATGTCAGCTCTCAACATTTCGTTCCTTAATTTTTATGGTAAACTATAGATATATATTTTTAATGTCAGTATAGGAAAAATCATTTCTTTATAAAAGAGAGACTTACTGAATGAGCCAGCCAGTTGCACAGGGAATCATAAGAAAATACCAAAAGGTTTTTTAGCAACTTGTGACAATCTCTACTTTAATTATTTGTAAATCTTGGATCCACTACGAGAAAATCTGGCCTAACAAGTTCCTTCCGTATCTTAGCATTCAACACTTTTTACTGATTCTACCAGTGAGCGTTGGTAGACAAAAAGATAAAACGTATTAGTCAATAATTTGTGGTAGGAATGATACTCTAACCAATCCCTTCAATTTGTATATTTGAGAATATGATTTTTAATGCACATTTTATATACATAATAACTACTGATTGACTCTTTGCATGGCAAGTTAAAAATGCCCTTTCTTTTAAGTGAAGAATGTGAAATCAGTAGTTCTTCTATACTTAAGATTTGGTTTGATGTTTGGCCCTGCTTGAATTGAATCTGCTCAACCCAAGCATGTGTTTCCCTCCTGATGGTCTGAGTTGTCCCTTGTGAATGTTAAATCTTATGGTCTATTCTGCATGAAACTCAGTGCTGACTTTATTGCTCACCTTCGATTGTTTCAGTCGAAATTCCTTGTCTTTCTGCATTCTGTACTGGTCGATCTCTGCCATGGCTTCCTCCTTAGCTTGCTTTAATCGCTTCCCTTTTCCTGAAAATTAACAGC